TCTCATCGTTCTCAAGTCGACCTGCCTCGCATGGTAGAACCTTCAAGAACATATGTTCCAGCCAATATAGTTCAGTTGGGTGATTACAATATGCAAGACCGACCATCACGTCAAGGTAGCAGATACGTTCAGGACAAAAACAATGATAATCCTATCAAAGACTCTTGATTCCAAACACTAACATACTAGAAAGAATTTCCATTTTTCTCATGAATCAATCAATAAATATTTTTCTGAAATGTTGTATAAAGTTTCGACAAAGAAAAAATTTTCGTATCATAGATTACTTTATTCATCATACGACCAAATTAACAATAGTTGTTTATTTTTAGAGTAGGATAAGCATTTTATCAGCTGATAATTTGTCTCTACAGAATGCATTAATTGTGTTTACCTAATTTTTTTTTTAATTAAAAAGTACATAACATCACATTTCCGTAGATTTGAGGACAACTAATAGATTCCATTTTCCGTTTGTATGATCACGTGATTTCACGTTTTCTTTTGTTTTCTATAGTATAGTATACATATAACTTTTTATGTAAGTGTACTTGGTTGTATGAGCATTAATAATAACAATAATAACAATAATAGTAAAAATGATAACACCCATTGTTTGCAACAAGAACTAACCAGTGTACAAACTCACATTAATCTTGAATAGAAAAACTGGAGAAGAACAGTTAGCTACTGATCTTGCTTGCATTCAGTGATTATTTGAAACATGGAAATCATCAATCAATCATTATTTGACCACCATTAGAAACCTAGAAGTACTGGACAGCCGTTTCGTCCTGTTATGGGACTCATTAGCAATGCGCTTCCACGATTCCTGCACCCCACAGGATTCGAACCCGGGACCTCCGGTCTTATATGTGAACAAACACGGACCGATTTAACTAATTATCTCCATGAAAGCGTATAGGGTCGTCGAATATATCGATTAAAGACAGTTTCAATCTAGTCTAACACAAACGAAGTTCGATATTAGATGGACTTAAATAAGTTCGAAAAACACCGTACAAGTTCCGAATAAACTACTTATGAGAATTCAGCAACCAGTGAAGATAACATAATGTTGAAACTGATTTTGTTCGTAGATACTTAAAAGAGTATCTGCATCGATCAAGCATTCAGAGGTGATCTGAGTGGTGTTACTGCTTAAATTTGTGGTCAGTAGCCATTTTATGCAATCTATTTATCTATCGATTACAGATTTATGTACTGAGCTTCGAGTCACACTATGCAAGGATTGGTGATACCGACCGGTTTACGTGACTCTGTATTAAGTGAAGTGGTGTTCGACGCTATTATCTAATTGTTGATAAATAAAGTATTTTTCAACTACTATGCAAAATATCTATTTCTAACAAAATCGATAATATTGCATGTTTCCAGTGAAACAGAAATTGAGATCATTGTGTGATATGAACTACTGGCTAATTCAATATTATCCCTATCATTTAGTTTCCTAGTTAATACGTATTTGTAAAATCAAACTCTGAGATGGTGGAGAAGATTTGTAGCTCAGGTAGATGATTGTGGTGGTGGTGTTTGGTTCTCTGAGCCGCGGATGTTTTGGTTGTGAAGCTTTCATTGTTCTTCTACTGAACAACATCATCAACACAAACTTCAGATAGAAGAAGTGAAGAATTCGAATTTCCTCACGTTAGATCTGTATAGCTTGTCCTGTTAACCTCGATCTTGATTGGTTGTTGTTGACCTGTTGTTGTTTGTACCCGATGATGTTGTTCAGTAGAAGAACAATCAAAGCTCCACAACTAAAACACCCAGCTCAGTGAACCAAACACCACCATCACTGTTGGGGATGTTAGATCCTCAAAATTCGCTTGATAATGACTTATTTTGGTTTTCACGTTTGCCAGCATGGGCTGATCAGTTGACCTGGAGATTTCAGTTCCCAGCAGGAAAATCCATGGCTGTGTATTTTAGTGTGCTATTCTTGTGACTGTCCCAATGACGTTTCTATGTTGTATAAATAAACGAGAGTTGTATGCTTGATTGTACTGTGATTGCTGGGTGTTTGTAGAATATACTTTCTACGCTTACCAAGAATTCTGTTTTACCGTTTGGATTCAAGGTAGCCTACGTGGACGCTGGTAAATGTCTCGTTCGCGTTTATCGACTAAGGTAAACTCGTAACAGCCTCAAGCAAACTAAGTGATGAACCCTACAATCACCACCACAAAAATCAAACTATGCTATATACATGATCGAAAATGGTTGAACATACACTCGAACAGTTGTTCAAATTAATAAACCACCCCCCCTCAAAAAAAGGATGATAAATTGTATTCATCCTAACTCATTTTTCTCAACAACATCTTACAAATGAGTTGAAAATTGAATTCAATAAAATACCTTTTCTGAGTTAGTAGATCGCGAAAGCAAATTTTCACATTGTGATTAAAAGTAGTAATCATCATATGAAAATGCACATGTATCACCAGTTTTGTTTTTTTTCTATTCAAAGAATAAAGATTTCTTTTTAATCAAAATAATATTCAATGTACTATGCTAATGATGATAAAGTTTTAGCTATTCAATATTAAAGATGAAATAATTATTGTTGCGCTTCTTTCTTTATTTTTTCAAATTTATCATCAGAGATTGTTTGATTGTTGTCGGTTTGAAATGTGATGTGATCCTGACACACACACACACACACACACTAGAAAATACTCCATCTTTTGACCATACTAGTAAAAATCTGAACTGGGCATTAAAAGTATTTAAAAATACCGCCCAATGAATGATTTGTTATAGATTGATAATAATTATTTAACCTAAAAAAGGTATTACTGCTCAACTTCCCATATATATAAAATAATCAATACACTTACATTTAACCTCAATCATAGTGAAGTCACATCTCCACTAGTTTCATACAATAGAAGTATTTTTTTTATCTACCGAAAGAATGAAAACTAATTTCGCTAACTGAGTAGTTGGTAAAAATGTTTAATTTTGAAACAAATAAAGAATTTAGGATTATAAATTTATGAATTGACTACAAATAGAATGTAATCAACAAATGATTGGCATTGATTTGGTAAGTAGTTAAATAAATAGATTAGAATAGATATTCTAGTTCTTTATTGTTTTGCCTAACTGCAATGTATGATTTTCAAAAATACATTAATAAATGCACCGCAGCTGTACAATCACAACAAAATAAATTTCAAAGTTACCTACCTCACTTGAACTCCACCTGCAGACCCTTCTAGGTTACTGCCGGTCCCAAGCCCGGATAAAGTAGAAGGGGTTAGATATGGGGTTGGCGCCCCACATCCCAACTATAAACTAACTTGACAAAAAAACGCTAACCAGAAAAAATTATTCAAACCATTTTCACTTTGCCCTAGGAGTTGGAAGTAGAATTATGACGTCGCGTGATGAAAGCCGAGTTCCTTCGGAAGTCACGAGGCCGATGCCTCTTCTGACAACCAGAGCAACAATTCTTTTAGGTACATGTAACGTTCGTACATTGTGGCAGACTGGAAGACTATTTCAAGTTGTTGTAGAAATGAGAAGATAGAACCTCGAGGTGCTTGGAATCAGTGAAACTCATTGGACACAGGTAGGACACCTGATACTAGCTTCAGGAGAACTGCTGTTATACTCTGGTCATGAAGAGGAAAATCCTTCACATACACAAGGAGTTGCACTGATACTGTCCAAACACGCACAAAAGGTGCTGATAGGATGGGAATCTCATGGACCCAGGATCATTAAAGCATCCTTCAAAACAAAGAAACAGGACATTACAATGAACGTCATCCAATGTTATGCACCTAACGATGACTACAATCATGACGATAAAGATCAATTCTAAGAAAGGCTGCAGTCGATCGTCGACAGATGCTCACCAAAGGATTTGACTATTCTAATGAGAGACCTAAATGCCACGGTTGGAATGGACAAACAAACCAGATTCCGGTGGAGGAGGAAATCAGGAAGAAGTGGTGGAAGTGGATAGGACACACACTGCGAAAAGCACCGAACTGCGTCACAAGACAAGCCCTCACATGGAACTCTCAAGGTCAAAGGAAAAGAAGAAAGCCAAGGAACACATTACACTGAGAAATTGAGGAAGACATCAGAAGAATGAACAAAATTTGAAGAGAACTGGAAAGAGAAGTCTAGGACAGAGTTGATTGGAGAAAAATGGTGGGAGGCCCATGCTCCATTGGGGGTAGCGAGTATATGTAAGTAAGTAAGTACTACACTTGCTCACTTCCTTTATCACCTACATTGATTTAAATACAAGTATAAACTAGAAGACTGATTATGTATTATAGAAATTAAGTATTTCATTGTTAAAAAACACAACACAACACAACACACATAACAATTTAAATTGTCCAGCAAAAAATGTCAGTAAATAACATCACACATTACCTGAGATAACAGAAATGCAAAAAATCAGTAGAAAATAAATCTAAGAATACATGATTATAGTTAAAAAAATATTTAGCTAAGTAAGTAACAGTTCGATAAAGTCTCATGTATATACGATTACCTGAGTTAAGCATGATTATTATTATTATTATGTTTGTCAATACAATGAAATAAGTATACTGTAAACAGAAAGTGATGTAGATTAGTGTAGGGAATGAAAACAATACATGAAGTCATTTGATCACAAAATAAACCAATCAAATAGTCATGTATAACAAAATAAATACCTCTGCTGCCCTCCAAACAGAAAAAAAACCGTACAGAAATCTGATAAAATAAATTTTTTTCATTATTACACAGAATTGAAAATTGTCAAATGATAAAGATATTTTTCGTTCACTCTCTCTCCCTTTTTAAAGTCAACACTCAATAATATTCTTTGTGTAGTAGTAATCAGTAGAATAAACAATAACATAAAAAACTAATTCCATGAGATATATTTTTTTAAATAAACACTCTATAGAGAAGAAAGCAAATGATGAATATGTTTTACAATTCATTGAAAAAGAATACATTTTCACATGTAGCAAAAACACATACACACACACACACACAGAGATATTATTATTTCATTGAGCTTTAAACCATATTTCATTTCGACGATTAGTTAACTTGAATATAGAATCATATCCAGCGAAATAAAATGGATCTGGTGTATATTTTAAACCAAGACGATCAAGACTTTCACCAAGTTCACGTGCATTTTTCATTACTTTGTAATCATTTGAAAAACCTGAATAGTTACTTTTTATATGAAATCGAAAAGAAAATGAAATAAAACAAAACAATGAAGGAAGGCTGCGCAATATCATTGATTGAAGTCAGACATTAACACCACTGAATGTCAACTCAGTGGTCTCGAACTGAAATGTTTGCGTGAGAGATTCAAGGTCGTCAGCGAGAGAGATTCTCGCTTGCAAGGGTCGTGGATGAGCACTGCTGATGAGTCCCACCCACTCACTGCTTTCAGGTTTCTAAAGATGGTCTAGCTAAGACCTGTTCATGACTTCAAGTAGGAAAGTAACACAATCTCCTGAAATCCCTATTACAAACCTAATATTTCATTGGGTAGATCAAATTTCACCTAGCAATCGAATCCATGATATACGTTTGGTCTTGCTTGGGACACGTTAGTTGGATATACTTGGCACCTGGGAATCGATATCTACTCCAGAATTCGAGCTCGATACCAATCGTTCGAGACACAAACGCATTATATCCACTTAAATATTGAGTTCATTTATTATTCACTTGCGCAATGGATATGAATTTTAACTTAGTTTATAATGACTTGGATTATCCTCTTGTTGATCAATCAGTCAACAACAACGTAGAACTTTGTACGTATGTACATCAAATCAGGTTGCAAAACCACAGAGATGTTAAGATCAATTCAAATCCCATAGTGGTACATGTAGTAGAAGTATCAGCGGTAACGGGAAAGATTAGAGATCAAAGATATGATTCGAGAAGTATAATCTCTTGAGATAAATTTAAAAATAGGATAAAATGTTCAAGAGGAATTCAGAAGATTAGAATTCAGGAGAAGGCAGGGAGTTGATGTACCTGCACCATTACAAGCGGTTTTGAGCCAGGTTATTCATGGTCTCTAACCATCGATTATTATCATCTCGCGGACCTCAACCAGCTAGCCTACATCTACCAACATGATTTAGTCCACTTGTCAGTGACTACATGGATTTATGCCATGTTTCTGTCTAGGCGTCCCTAACTTTCTTCAAGCCTATCTATACACTAGGCATCATAGCTTGGTGAGGTAGCCAAGGGATGGCCATCCGTAATACGTGTCCCGAGCAGCACAACTGATGAAGATTCACTACTTTATCTATTGATCTTCCATCCTTAAAACCTATTTCCTAACAACATCATTGCTTACTCGATCGTCCCAAGATATACGAGCAATGGTTTGAAGATACCTGTGATCCACATAGTAGGACGGAACGAACTGCTGCGCGGTAGACTCGTCCTCTGGTTAGTAGACGGATATCTCTGGTGCACTATAAGTAACGCAAGTTGACAAAAACCAACCGAGACTTCTGTATCCGTGCTGAGATTTCGTCACACACTAGGACATCGGTACTGATGAGACACTCAAGATAAGTGAAGCAGTCGACATGCTCAACTGCTTCACTACATATCACTAATTAAAGTGTCCATGAGAGCCAACCCTGGTGTAACATTTTGCATTTGGAGAGGGAGAAATGCATACCGAACAAGCTTGTATTGTTGCTTAGGGTAGTCAGAAGATTTTGTCAGCGTCTTCACCAAATAGAACTATGACATACGCATATTCCGAGTCAACAAGTGAGTCTCCCGGTAGATGAACTCCTGAAAAGACAGTGGATGAAAATTTCGTAGCTAAAAGTACGTAAATGATAAAGTTAAACATGAATGGAGAAAGTAGTCTGCCCTGACGAAAAACAATTGAAATGATAAATTTCGAGGACAGTTCGTCATAAGCTTTGACCCGATCAGTAGGATTTGGGTGGAGAGCCTGCATAACGTTAATGTAGTTCTTTGGTACACCATCCGACGACAGACACTTCCATAGAACCTCACGATTGACAAAGTCAAATGCCGCTTAAGGTCAAGGGCGGCAACTATAGTGGGACGCCGAAATGTGTGTCTGTGTTCTAGGACTTGTCGTAGTGTGAAGATGTGGTCTATACAACCACGTCCAGGTCGAAAACCAGACTGGTTTTCTCGAGTCTGCTCTTCACGAGCTCTAGTTAAGTGTCTGAGCATTACCGAGGCTAACAATTTAGAAATTATATTAGTGAAATCGAAACCCCTGTAACTGCCACAAGGGGACATTTTTCTTCCTTACAGACTGAGACAGTCAGTGATTCAGAACGATCAGATGAAACCGAGTCCAATTATAAATTCTACTTAAGATCTCATTCAATTTAACCAATGAAATTGGTCTACCATCAGTTAAAATCTCAGCAGTCAATCTATCAGGGCCTGTTGCTCTCCCTATCTCCAGATTTCCTACAGCTTTCTCAACTTCATAAAGACTCGCAGAACTTACTTCAACTTACTATTCAGATGGACTGGAGCTGATGGGTAACCAAGGTGTGGCTAAAGGCAAAATAAACTGATCCCACCCATCGATCCACTCTCTTAGATTGAGAATAACAATAGTCCCTTTGTTTGCGAGAAAGTTTCACTAACAGTCAGATTCCTAGCCCCCAGTTTCTTTGATAAGTCGGAACAGTTGTCGGCTGCCTAACGCCTCTGCCTTTCCCACTGCTCTTGGTTGCGCTACCCACCACTGTTCGCGATCATTGCATGGGCTTCTTATCAGCCTGCACTTAAGCTAACTCCACTGCTTATCATGTTCGGAGCTAGATGGAATGAGTTCTCGAGCATCTATCAGTTAAGTAGATGCTAATGAAATCCACCGCTTAACCCTTTCCTTATGATTTACCTTACTAGCAAACATCAATGCTGTTTCTACAGCTTTATGGATATCATTCCAAGCTGACGCGGGATGAATATCACTTACATGATCTGCTAACTGCTTTTACAGTTCTTCCTGAAATCTATTGTTAGCTATGCTATCATTAACTAGAACCCTAAGAGGTTTCCATGCGATGTCTTTTCTACCTCCAGTAAGCCGGAAATAAACACGCGCTCACATTACAGCATGGTCTGAATCAAAAATATGCCCCAGAACGAGCGACAGTCTTCAATAGAGCCTCTCCACCGATGACTGATAGCAAGATAGTCTAGTTGGGGCCATTATTGGGTCAGCTTTGGTAGTCTCCAGGTGAAGAGATGTTTTTCCTTATGCTTAAAGTTAGTATTTGCTGAAAATGAGCGATTATCCGAGCATAGTTGCAACAGACGGTCGCCAGTATCTAAACTTCGGACCATAATACTACAATATCCACATAGGTGTCTTTCCTTCCTACTTAGTCTATCTACTTGAACAGTGAAATCACCAGCCACTAATAATACATCAGAGCACTAAAAATTTTGAAGAAGGTTAGAAAGATTTCTGTAAAATACCTCTTTTATCTCGTCCGAGCTGCAGTCAGTCGGATAATAGGCAAATACAACAAAGCAGCAACAAAGAGTGTCCCTATCTTTCCTAATCTTCACCACCCCTTTCAGTCGGACAGTACATGGGCGACTATCTATTGTATTCACTCTAAGAGGGCTAGTTCTGCTCTAAGACTCAATGCAATATATACACCAGCAAGGCCCCAGGAAACAACATCAGTGCTTCCAGATATATGGAGTGTAAACCGTGCTGGTTCCTCACCTGAACAAGGTGAAGTCAGTTTAATGATTCTACTCTGATCCTGTGTGAGCCTTTCGGAGACACGGCATATATTGTTAGCGCGAGATTTTAAAGCCCTAAATAAGAAAGCGTGTTGTCTTATTTGGCACAAGGTTTGAACATTAAAAACTCAAACACCTAGTTTAGAGTGGGGTTTCAAGAGACCACAAATAACGTTTCATGAGCTCAAAGCGTCTGCATCGGCAGCGATAGGTGGTAAAGGAATGAAAGAAGGGCTGTTCGTGGAGATATGATAGTTATAAAGAGGTGTTGGAAGGAAATGGCTGTGATCTATTTGTTTTCTTGTGCTGTTACCAGTATAAGGGTGGATGTCACTCCCCAGCTGCCCACGCAGTGAAAAGGTACTTCTCGAGGAACCTGAAAAGGAATTTGGATTATTCTTGGTCTTAGCGAACTAGGAGCGTGACAGCAGAGCCAAATGGACAACTGCTTGATGCCAATCACACATGACCTTCTTGAGACGTATGCAAAGTGTAAGCCCTGCTCTTTAAGTGGTCTTATCGCCGTAGACGGCAATCCGTGAGGTAAGGTCAGGTGTGAGAAGACAGCATCTCTGGAGATGCTGGTTGTCCGGGGGAAATACCTTACTGCTGTCGCACCTCTCCACAGTCGGCACTACAACTTCGCCCTCAGAACTTAGTTGTTGTTTCAACTGTTACCACTCTCCAATCAACCTGCCTGGCATGATCGAACCAAAAAGAACAATCTTTACAGCCAATATAGCTCTTTTTGGTCATCACGGAAAGCAAGACCGACCACCACGTCAAGGTAGCAGCTACGGTCGAAGGAAAGTTCATAATCGGTTACATCAAAGAAACTGAAAAAATATCTCACCGACAGTAGACTTTCATTGCTGGTCTGGTTTCTATAAATATATCATCATCAGTTGGAGGAGGTGGATCTGAGTGATGCTGTGCAGGAACGTAAAAACCCATTGTAAAACATCTTTGCATAATAGACTCAGCATCTGGCTTACTTTCAACAGTAACTGGAGCGGTCATTTCTATTTTAACCTCTGTACAAGACATTAAATTTAAAAAGATACAAACTTCGCTGATTATGTCCCCCAATATAAGCGAATAATTTAAAAAAACACTTTTTAGTTATTTTATCCATTGAAGTTGCAGTTTTCCTGGTACAAACCCACGGTAGAGAGTCATATTCACGTAGTTCAACATTCTAAGAATTTAAAAAAAAGGTAAACGAAAACTAACTTCATCAGGCCAAGTATTACAAACAGTATACGGAGCAGTTTCTATGCCCATTGTAATGATCTTGTTTAGTTTTGACGATAATAACCGAACGGATGAAAGCTCTAAAGTGGAAGAAAAATTGGAACGGGAATTAAGAAATGGTTCATTTTACTAATCACATTAAAAATAAACCATACACATATAATGACAGATTTCCCATACAATCGCGATTGAATTTTTATCACCAAATAATATTCTCTTTATCCGAAGCATATCTTAAAATAACTATTACCACATGAACGAGAAATAAAAGTGACGGAGATAAGTTGTTATCTAAAACTACAGGTCATTTTGATATAATAACTTTTTTGTATAGAAACACAATACTGAGATAAAACATACAGTAATATTAAAACAATTATATCTCTCCATTTAAGAAAAATTTATATCGAATGGCTACTAACTAACAATCTAGTTCGGATTTTCGCATCAAGAAATATCGGAAGATAGAACCTCTTTGTGCAAATAGGCTGGAAATAGTAACTATCAAATACTTACGAGAGTAGAGAAATTGTTCATGAGCGTTTGTATAAATCTTCAACACCCATACTTATATTAGGCTATAAAGAGAAGTCGATCGAGGAATAAACCTTATCAGCGATCTGTCAACATAGTTACGAACAGTGGCACGGCTAACTTAAAACTCGTCAAATAATGAGTATTTAGTGAACACATTTATCACCTGATATGAAAATCTATGTGTTCCAAACGGAAATTGGGAGATTATAAAATCTAAGATCGTGGATAGTCCGTTCAGTGAGAATGTTTTGGTTTTAATATCACCAGAGGATCTTGATCTACTTTTAAAATTTAGAACGGTTGGAAATGAAACAGCATATGGTAAATAAGCTTTAGTCTTCGGACTTAATATTAGATAACATCTAAAATACCTTTTACAATTAACTATTTTAGGTCCGTCACTCTCTATTGTTTTAAATAAGTTACAATCTCAACTTTGCTGAGAGCTGAGGGCCGATGTATATTTTCTCTTTAGGTTCTAGTAAGAGTATTCGGCAGCATAGTAGCTGCGTTGTTCTTTAAAATGTTCACTTAACCTTACAGATGTCCACTTTGCAATAGATTATTTATATCTTGCTCCCTGACAGCCAAAATTGAGCTCGGTTTGATCACCAGTCTTTTGGATTATCCTAAAAAATCATTTAGTGTTACATATCGCCATCCCTAGTTATTGTGTTACAATATTCAATATCATTTTCACGAGCTAGAATAAACAGAATGACTTTTTGAGTTCGATTTTTGTCTTAAAACTTATGCTAATAAGAAGATTTCAGAACTTAGTAAATAGATGATTAGGTAAGTTAATCAACTGGTACGAGAGGAACGAGATGTAAACAAGGGAGAGGAATCGGAGATTATGTGTGAGATAGATTAAGTTAGTGATCAGGATATCTCAAGGTAAGTTCTTGACAGTCTACTAACTTTGCAGGAACCAAAAAGAAGCATTGGAATTTATAATCCTATGTTTTGAGAAGATGAGGTGAAGAGATTGGTAAGAATGTGTTTGAACTATTTTAACGAATGCCACCCCAACTATTCCCAATTCGTGTACTGTTCGCTGATGCTTTAAATTGGAATTAAAAGAAGAGAGATGGATGGTTTATTAAATTCAGCCGTGACATGAAATTTTTATGAAACTGGAATTTTTCGGTTCATCACTACTCTAAGTTTGGCTTCCAAAAGGCCTTACAACTCAGACATATATAGACAGCTCATTCCTAGTCTATGCACATATATTTCCAGATTTCTTTTATACTCAGGGTAATTATGATGAATAAAATATCTTATTATAATAACTTGCAATCACGAAAAGTACAACCTCGGTAACTTACGAAGCGTTTGAAAAGTGCCCATAGGTGGCGCGAATACAGTGTCCAACATCTAATGTATTTTTCACGAGCTACCATAAGGCAGCTGATTTCTTTCTGCTTGATTACTGTCATTTCGGTACCGTTCCAGGTATCTGGTTTTGTCCGAATGATGATGGAACAGGTACTCGTAGTCTATAATTCGTTTCTGAGGTTCATCTAAATATTTGGTGGACCATAAAAGAGTGCCTGGGGACTTGGTGTGAGTTCCGGGAATAGTCGATATATCTCTGTCCTGGGCTTCCCTTTCTAGTTCCGTCCAATGTTTGTTCGTTCCTCTCATATCTTTCTCTATTTCTCGGAGTAATGTGTTCCTTGGCCTTCCTCTTTTCCTTTTGCCTTGAGGATTCCATGTACGGGCTTGTCTCGTGACACAGTTAGGTGCTTTGCGCAGCGTATGTCCCATCCACTTCCACCGCTTGTTCCTGATTTCCCCCTCCATTAGAATATGGTTTGTTCTCTCCCACAGTAGGTTGTTGCTGATGGCGTCTGGCCAACGAATACGAAGTATTTTGCGTAGACAACTGTTCATAAATAATTGTATCTTCTGGATGATGGCTTTCGTAGATCTTCAAGTTTCCACTCCATACAGTTCAACTGTCCTGACATTTGTGTTGAAAATCCTGATTTTGGTTTTGGTTGATATTTGTTTGGAGTTCCAGATATTTTTCAACTGTAGAAATGCAGCCCTTGCTTTTCCGATCCGCACCCTTACATCTTCATCGGATCCACCTTTCTCGTCGATGGTGCTGCCCAGATATGTAAAGGTGTCAACGTCTTCCAAGGCATCGCCATCAGGAGTGATTTGGTTGGTGCATGTTGCGTTGCATCGGAGAATTTGCTTTTTCCTTTATGTATGCTGAGACCTGCTGCTACCGAGGCTGAGGCTGTCATACTGGTCATCTTCCGATGAACTGGGTGTTGCGTGTGCTATAGAAGAGCCTGGTCATCTGCGAAGTCCAGATCGTCCAGCTGCGTCCTAGCTGTCATTGGATACCGTGCTTCCCTCCAGATGTTGACGTCTTCATAATCCAATCTATCACCAGGAGAAAGGGAAAGGGTGAGAGTAAGCAACCCCGCCTGACACCGGTCTTCACCTCGAAAGATTCTGTTAGCTGTCTGTAGATGAATTTTCTACCGTAGCAGTTCAATTCGATTCCAATAGGTGTAGGATGAACGCACCCTTTCTTAGTTCAATATCAGAACACAATAATTCTAGGAGAAAGTGGTCTATTTATATATAAAAATGGAAATACAAACATTTACCTGACGATTACTACACCTTCCAAGTCGAAATTACTCCGATAAGTATCCGAGTTCAAAAGAATAGGTGATGCTAGTATTAACTGCAACGATATCAAATCCAAATATGGCTGCAGCCATATTATATATCGAATTTAAACAACATGTTTACAGTTCAGAAGCAAACATAAAAACTTCAATATAAGTACAAGATATAGAAATAATAACAATATACAATGATAAAATCTCAAAAAAGAATCAAATAGAGTACCAAAATGTCAACAGAAAGAGTCAGTCATATCATAACACAAATATATATACATGGAGGGATTTTCCAAAAAACAAAACATTCAAAAAAGATTCTAAACTGTCCTCCGTGCACGATTTTGCAGTTGAATCCATCATAAGAATGATGTTGACTATCTTCACTGGCACACCGTAGTGTCGAAGAAGCCTCCACAGTGTTTTCCTATCCACGCTATCGAATGCTTTCTCGTAGTCGATGAAGTTGATGTAGAGTGGTGATTGTTCTACAATCATCCGTAATGTTGCAAAATGTTGCGAAATCCAGCCTGTTGATCTCGAATTTGGGCGTCTACGAAATCCTTCATTCTGTTCAATAAAACCCTGTTGAAGACTTTGTCTGGTACTGAAAAGAGAGTGATGCCTCTGTAGTTCTCACACCTGCTGAGATCTCCTTTCTTTTAATAATAATAATAATTTATTCTCAAATAACTAAGTTACAAGAGTCACGCCAGTTTACAGGCTAGATCAAATTGTCACAAATGCTTTTACAATTACTGTAAAAGTTATAGCAGTTAAATTAAGTATAAGAGTCATTTTATGATTGCATATTTATACCATGTCACTGACAGAAACAGTATTATACAGCCTCATTTTCAATAGTAGAGTACAAATAAGGAAGGAAGGTGCACAATAGGTTCTATTGGCGATTTGTCGAGATCAATAGTGAATTTGTTGGGAAAGGTCATATGGAACGCGCTTGATACGAGCTGTGATCCAGACAGTCATGTACATTGGGTGCATGTTCCCTAGAGTTGCCAAGGACTTCCCACCGTGAATGGGGTTCTGAAAAGGAGAAGAGAGAGAGGAAAAGGCAGCAGTGTGGCAAGTGTATATATATAACCAAAGCACTACTTAACCTGTCATGTTGAAGTAGTCAATACAGTAGTAAGTCAAGATAAAATTCATACTGACCACTTAAATTAAAGTAAATTATGGGAATATAAGAATATAACACACAGATAAAGGAGTACAGCAAAAAGAAGGAAGAGTTGTGCAGTGTCAGGTGGATAGAAGAGAAGTCGAAGTAAGAAGCTGGATTTATGTACGTTGAAATCGAAATTCTAGTTGAAAGAGTAGCGTTTGTAAAAATAAAACTTTGATAAACAAAATCTCGCACTGTCTAACTGTTTTTATTATTATTATTGAATGCTTGAATGATTGAATGATTGTGCAGATTTGTGTCGTTGGTGATTAGCAGAGAAAGAGTTTCTTTAGCTAAGCTTGGTTCTATTGAGGTAAATAAAGCTGTTACGTCGAAGGATATCATCATTTCGTCGTTGTCAATTTGAATCCTCTTGAGTTTATCCAAGAATTCTGTGGCCGTTCTGTGGTCGTTCTGGTTAACGATAGTTTCCGGCGAGCTCCTTTTTCGTATCGAACAATTGTCTCATGTTTCCTTCATTTGCAGCCTTTTCCCCCGTCATTGCTAGATCATCCACATATTTCCGTTGGTCAGCTCTGATGCTTTTCTTCACTTCCTTGTTTGCTTCTGTGTATGCAGCTTGTGCAGTACCTTTCTCTCCTCTTGTTCGGCTGACATTGATTGCGGCCTTCTTGTTCCTCCTTTCTTCAATATTTGCAAGAGTATTGTAATTGGATTTTCTACCGTAGCAGTTCAATTCGATTCCAATAGACGTATGTTGGACGCACTCTCCGATTTAGAATATCAAAACACAATAATTCTAGCAGAAAATGGTCTATTAATAGAGAATAAATGGAAATACAAACGTTACCTAACAAATTTTACGCCTTCCAATTCAAAATTACTCTGAATGAGTATCGAGGTTCCGAAGACTAGGTGAACTCCTATACCGCACGATATCAAATCCAAAAATGTGGCTGTAGCCATATTATATCAAATTTAAACAACATATGTACAGTTCAGAAGCAAACAGAAAAACTTCAATATAAGTACAAAATATAGAAATAATAACAATATACAATGATAAAATCTCAAATTAGAATCAGATAAATTACCAAAATGTCAACAGAAAGAGTCCGTCATGTCATAACAAAAATATATAAACATGGAGGGATTTTCGAAAAACAAAACCTTCAAAAAAGTTTCTACACCGGCCCGCAAAATCCCTCCATGCAAAAATGGCAAGCGTTAATGACACTTCAATTTAGGGTTCCCACTCATCCCCTAATCCACACCGGAAGAACGTGTATGACTTACAGCAGTACGCCTACCCGCCCTCAAACATGGATATGACCTATCAAGCTAACTAGGTACCTATACCTTCCCATCAGGCCCTTGATTCCCCTATCTATCGTAGCATGACCTAACGGTAGTATAAACCTTACCCAATTAACCCACACGAACGTGTACAACACGTCGTAAATCTGGTCATATCCTATCCGGGAACTACATTCCATATCATGGGGATGAGTCGTCAATCCGCCACCACTTGCTCCGGACAGCAGATACAATGAAGTCCGTGATGCTGACTTATCAACAGAAATTCTTGACCCATAGATAATATGCAAGGGTGGGATTTCCAATTTTGATATTTCTTCGTCTCCCGAATACTTTAAGTAGCATAACATGGGACCAATATTTATCTCTCCATTTCCTGATACAGAGGAGATTTGATCAGCATTCGTCATCGTCGGTAACTCATTTGTCACATCAGCGACATCCAGATTATTATCAACATCATCATGATTCCATTGTGTCAGACAGGTCGCGTCGTTTCGGTCTGCACCAGCCTCCGTAGAGTGAAACTCTTCCATTGTTGTATAACTTATCTCACCACATGAAAGAACAGCATTAGTGTCACAATCCAAAACCGATAAACTCACTTGTTGTTCTTCATGTTCCGTTTCAGAGACACACGACATATGCACGTCAATAGCATCGTTATCATGCATTACTGTAGACTGACTGTTACCATCAGACGCCTCCTTCTCATCATCACTTGACTGACAGTCAACCGATGTAGGAACACTTACAGTTACACAACCTTGTGTATCCTCAATCAACTTAACATTCGTGACAAGGTCCGATGACGTCAAAACACTAGAAGGCTCGTTCGATGAAGTTGATCGACTAGTCACTATAGGTGGACTGCTCACACTTTCTGTCTCTTTACTATCGCTGTCACTACTAAGATTCTGATGACTACTATTTCCATTGCTAGTCATAGCATCCGAAAGAGAATGATGTTTAGGCTTCTTAATAATAGTAGCATCATGTTGTTTCCTAGTCTTCTTAGCCTTTTCTATCTTATCACTGTGGCTTAAGCTATTGCCACCGACGCTTATATTCTTCACGCTCAAACAACCGATTTCGTCTTGATTCGAAGTACACAAGGAAGCTGTATTAGCAACATCAACCGAAGAAACTGCACTACCTGTAGTGATTCCACTATCGTTACCATCACGTTTATTATTGTCCACAATGATGTTCTGACTATTCATAGTTAATGACAAGTT